AACTCCGTCTCAAAAAAAAAAAAAACTCCTTGTTTTATACAAGAAAAATTTAAAATAGAGATAAAGTGACCTGGCAATTAGCATAAATTCTGAGGCGAGAACCCAGATCTACTGACTCCCACGTCAAGGATCCTGCTGTTATACCCACATGTAACTTTCACCCAGTAACTTTGGAAACAAGACTTCTGCCACCTCATGAAATGAAACCAAAAAAAACCCCAACAAAAACAAAAATACCCCACCAAATTATAGGGGGAAAAAAAAGACACACAAAAACCTGCTTCTTGGAGTGTGAATTTGTGTTTCTCCTGCTTTCCTCTTTGTATTACTTTTGCATATCCTAAAGATACTACAAGGAGTACCTCGTGAATTTATTTGTCTGCTTAATGTTTAGATTTTCCTAATTATAAAAGCAACACGTTTATAATACACCTGTAAGTGCTATAGAAACTTAACGCATATCATAAAAGTCCCCTTTAATCTCATATAAGTTTTGCTTTTGTTGTTGTCGTTTTTTGAGATGAAGTCTCTCTGTGTTGCCAGGGTGGAGTGCAGTGGAACGTCTCACTGCAACCTCTACCTCCTGGGTTCAAGGGATTCTCCTGCCTCAGCCTCCTGAATAGCTGGACTACAGGCGCGCACCACCACGTGAAAGTAAGTTTTCTATTTTTTTTTTTTTTTTTTTTGAGACGGAGTTTCACTCTTGTTACACAGGCTGGAGTGCAATAGCTCGATCTCGGCTCACCGCAACCTCCGCCTCTTGGGTTCCGGCAATTCTCCTGCCTCAGCCTCCTGAGTAGCTGGGATTACAGGCACGTGCCACCATACCCAGCTAATATTTTGTATTTTTAGTAGAGACGGGGTTTCACCATGTTGACCAGGATGGTCTCGATCTCTTGACCTCGTGATCCACCCGCCTCGGCCTCCTAAAGTGCTGGGATTACAGGCTTGAGCCACTGCGCCCGGCTAATTTTTCTATTTTTAATAGAGACATAGTTTCACCATGTTGGCCAGTATGGTCTTGATCACTTGATCTCGTGATCTGCCCGCCTAGGCCTCCCAAATTGCTGGGATTAAGGCATGAGCCATCACCCAGACTTCATTTGAGTTTTTTTTCTTATGTATACCTATTACTTTTATTAGGTTGATGCAAAAGTAATTGGGTTTTTTGCTGTTAGTGGCGAAAATCGCAATTGTTTTGGCACCAACCTAAATATGGAAAAATTAGCCTTTAAAACTCAGCAAATATCCACTCAAGATTTGTGCAGCTCATTCTGAAGTTCTGAGGCAGAAGTGTATTGGTATCTACAATTTACTTTGAAAACATCAAAAGGCAGATTATCGTGTGATAAAACAAGTATAATAAAATGCTAAAAGTAAGGCCGGGCGCGGTGGCTCAAGCCTGTAATCCCAGCACTTTGGGAGGCCGAGGCGGGTAGATCACGAGGTCGAGAGATCGAGACCATCCTGGTCAACATGGTGAAACCCCGTCTCTACTAAAAATACAAAAAATTAGCTGGGCATGGTGGCGCGTGCCTGTAATCCCAGCTACTCAGGAGGCTGAGGCAGGAGAATTGCCTGAACCCAGGAGGTAGAGGTTGCGGTGAGCCGAGATCGCGCCATTGCACTCCAGCCTGGGTAACAAGAGTGAAACTCCGTCTCAAAAAAAAAAAAAAAATGCTAAAAGTAGAATCCAGGTGATCACTATATGGGTGTTCACTGTAAAATTCTTTCACCTTTACTACCTTGGTAATTTTTCACAATCAAATGAGGTGGCGGGAGGACAATCTACATTAAGAAAGAAATACCTGGCCGGGCGCGGTGGCTCAAGCCTGTAATCCCAGCACTTTGGGAGGCCGAGGTGGGTGGATCACGAGGTCGAGAGATCGAGACCATACTGGTCAACATGGTGAAACCCCGTCTCTACTAAAAATACAAAAAATTAGCTGGGCATGGTGGCATGTGCCTGTAATCCCAGCTACTCAGGAGGCTGAGGCAGGAGAACTGCCTGAACCCAGGAGGCAGAGGTTGCGGTGAGCCGAGATCGGGCCATTGCACTCCAGCCTGGGTAACAAGAGCGAAACTCTGTCTCAAAAAAAAAGAAAGAAAGAAAGAAATACCTAGGCTGGGTACATGGCTCATGCCTATAATCCTATCACTTTGGAAGGCCAAGGCAGGCAGATCACCTGAGGTGAGGAGTTTGAGATCAGCCCGGCCAACATAGAAAAGCCCAGTCTCTACTAAAAATACAAAAGAAGCTGGGTGTGGTGGCACATGCCTATAATTCTAGCTACTTGGGAGGCTGAGGCAAGAGAATTGCTTGAACCTGGGAGGTGGAGGTTGTGGGAAGCTGAGATCCCACCATTGCACTCCAGCTTGGGCAACAAGAGCAAAACTCTCTCTCTCTCAAAAACAAACAAACAAAAAAAGCTGGGCGCGGTGACTCATGCCTGTAATCCCAGCACTTTGGGAGGCTGAGGCGGGTGGATCACGAGGTCAGGAGATTGAGACCATCCTGGTCAACATGGAGAAACCGTGTCTCTACTAAAAATAAAAAAAAATTAGCTGCGCATGGTGGCACGTGCCTGCAATCCCAGCTACTCAAGAGGCTGAGGCAGAAGAATTGCTTGAAACCAGGAGGCAGAGGTTGTGGTGAGCCGAGATCGCGCCATTGCACTCCAGCCTGGGCAACAAGAGCGAAACTCCATCTCAAAAAAAAGAAAAAAAAAAAAAAAAAAAAAAGAAACACCTAGATTTTTCGCTGGACCACAGTGGCATGATGACAGCTCACTGTGGCCTCGACCTCCCAGGCTCAAATGATCCTCCCACCTCAACCTCCTCAGTAGGTGGGACTTACAGGCATGTGCCATGATACCAGACTAATTTTTAAAAACAACTTTTTAAAATAGAGATGCAGTTTCACTATGCTGCCCAGGCTGGTCTTAAACTCCTGGGCTCAAGTGATCCTCCTGCCCTGGCCTCCCAAAATGTTGGGATTACAGGCCTGAGCCACCCTACTCAGCCCTAGATTTTTCTTAATGTGGTATTTGGCCATACTGCATCAGTGAAGGTATAGGGAAATGAATGGGAACTTTGTTACACAGCTATAGAAATAAGTAATTAACACATTTCTGTTGTGTAACTCAACAAAAGGATTTATCAAACATGCATACTCTTGGTCTCAAAAATTCCATTTCTAAGAATTTTCCCTAAGGAAACCATCAAGAACATTCATTGTAGCATTATTTATAATGCCACCAAGTAAAGTAGTGTCATCACAAGTCACTGCAGCCTCAACATCCTGGGCTCCAGCAATCCTCTCACCTTAGCCTCCCAAGTAGCTGGGACTGCAGGCGTGTGCCATCACATGCCTGGCTGATTTTTTACTTTTTGTAGAGATGGGAGTCTTACTATGTTGCCCAAACTCCTGGGCTCAAGCGATCCTCCTGCCTTGGCCTCCCGAAGTGCTTCCATTACAGCATGAGCCACCACTCACAGCCAAGAAACATTACCTTTAAAGTAGTAACATTAAGGCTGAGAGCTAATTTCTAACCAGAAACAATGGAAGCCAAAAGAGAGTGGAATGATATTTTTTAAACTGCTGAAAGAAAACAACTTCAGTTCAGATGCTATATTTGGCTGGGCATAGTGGTTCACGCTTGTAAATCCCAGCACTTTGGGAGGCTGAGGCAGGCAGATCACTTGAAGTCAGGAGAGTTCAGGACCAGCCTGGCCTACTTGGTGAAACCCCATCTCTACTGAAAAAAAAAAAAAAAAAAAAAAAAAAAAAAAAAAAAAAAAAAAAATTAGCTGGGCATGGTGGCATAAGCCTGTAAACCCAGATACTTGGGAGGCTGAGGCAGAAGACTTGCTTGAACCTGGGAGGCATAGGTTGCAGTGACCCAAGATCATGCCACTGTACTCCAGCCTGGGTGACAGAGAGAGACTGCATCTCAAAAACAAAAACAGATGCTGTATTCAGTGAAAGTATCTTTTTAAAAAAATTAGAAGTGGGCTGGGCGCGGTGGCTTAAGCCTATAATCCCTCCACTTTGGAAGGCCAAGGTGGACAAATCACTTGAGCGTACAAGTTTGAGACCAGCCTGGGAAACATGGCAAAACCTCATCTCTACAAAAAATGCAAAAATTAGCTGACCATGGTACTGTGCATCTGTGGTCCCAGCTACTTGGGAGGCTGAAGCAGGAGGATCACTTAAGCCTGAGAGATTTAGGCTGCAGTGAGCTGAGATTGTACCACTGTAATCCAGCCTAGGCAAAAAACAGAGCCACTGAGTTAAAATACACTCTAGGCTCGGTGTGATGGCTCATATCTGTATTTCCCAGCAACTCAGGAAGCTGAGACAGGAGGATCTCTTGATACCAGGGTTCAAGACCAGCCTGGGCAACATAGCTAGACCTTGTCTCTACTAAAAATAAAAAATTAAAAACTTAGCCAGGCATGGTGGCAAATGCCTGGAGTCTCAGTTACTCAGGAGACTGAGGTGGGAGGATCTCTTGAGCCCAGTTCACTGAGGCTGTAGCGAGCTATGATTGTGTCTTTGCACTGCAACCTGGGCAACAGATCAAGACTCTATCTCTAAATAAATAAATGAAACTTTTTTTTTTTTTTTTTTTTTTTGAGACAGAGTTTCACTCCTGTTGCTCAGGCTAGAGTGCAATGGCGCGATCGCGATCTCCGCTCACCACAACCTCTACCCCGCAGGTTCAAGTGATTCCCCTGCCTCAGCCTCCTGAGTAGCGGGGATTACAGGCATGCGGCACCACACCCAGCTAATTTTGTATTTTTGGTAGAGATGGGGTTTCTCGATGTTGGTCAAGCTAGTCTTGAACTCCTAACCTCAGGTGATCAGACTGTCTAGGCCTCCCAAAGTGCTGGGATTACAGGCATGAGCCACCACGCCCGGCCAATAAATGAAACTCTTAACAAGTCACGAGTGCATGATGGACTCTCTCAGTAACTATTAAAGAATAGAAGGAGTTGTGCTCACTTCAGCAGGACAAACACTAAAACTGAAAGGATACAGAGATGATTAGCATGGCCTCTGCACAAGGATGACACACGAATTTATGAAGCGTTCCCGCCTCCACCTCCCAAAGTACTGGGATAACAGGCATGAGCCACCATGCCTGGCCAAAATTTCTAAATTTCTATGTACCCTAATTACCTAGGCCAAATATACAGGTAACACAAATACACATAACAAAAAGGAAAAGAATCACAGTCATAGGTGGAGAATTTAACATACTTTTCTCAGTTATCAGATAGCAGATTTTTAAAAAGATTCTAGGGAGATATACGATTTAACACAATTAACAAACTTGACCTCATTAACTTATATAGAATGCTTCAACCCAACAACTGCAAAATACACTTTCTTAGGAACTGAGGGTGGTACAAATTACCACAATTTACCATAAACTAGTTGACAATATGGTTTCTGACCATACTGGAATGAAGCCAGCAGTAGCAGAAGGATAACTAGAAAATTTTCAAATGTATGAAAATCAGGCAACATATAAATAACTCATGAATTAAAGAAGGAATTAGAAATAGAAAAAGTATCTGTTTTGAACTTAATGACAATGAAAATATGACATATCAAACTCTGTGGAATAGAGCAAAACATCTGTTTGTGTACTCCCTAAAATCATCTGTTGGAGCCCTTACTCTCAGTGTACGCATAGATTTTTATCAATAAACAGTCTTCTGTATCCTTGGGTTCTGTAATTGCAACCAAGTTTGGCTCAAAAATACAGTATTCATTAGAACCCACATATAGGGAGGGTCAGCTTTTCATATATGTGGTTCTACAGGGCCAACTGTGGGACCTGACCATGTGCATTCTGGTATATGCTGGGGTCTTAGAACTAATAACCTGAATGCATATATACTGAGGGGTGGCTGTATTTGAAGATGGGGCCTCTAAGGATGTAATTAAGGTTGGATGAAGCCATAAGGATAGGACCACATCCAGTAGGATTGGTGTCCCTATAGGAAGAGACCCCAGAGAGCTTGTGCGTGCGCACGTGCGCGCGCTCACTCGCTCGCTCTCTCTCTCTCTCTCTGCGCAAACACTGAGGATGGCCATGTAAGGACATAGTGAGATGCAGAAAGAGAGCCCTCACCGGAAGACCACCATGCAGGCACCCTGATCTCAGACTTCCAGAATCCAGAACTGAGGGAAATAAATTTCCACTATTTAAACCACCTATTATGTGGTATTTTGTCATGGCAGCCTGAGCAGACCAACACAGCATCCATTTCATGAAGCTAGAAAAACTGCAAATTAAACCTAAAGAAAGCTAGAAGAATAAAGAGCACAGAGCAATGAAACAGAAAGCAGATATCCAAAATTACTTCCTTGAAAATAATAAAACTGACAGGCCCTAGCAACACAGATCTAAGTACATGTATGCAGAAAAAGGAAAAGAAGGAAATACTCTAAAACATAAAATATAATCATTTCTACATGGTGCAAACAGATTTTTATTTTCTTTTTTACACTTACCTTGGTTTTCAAAATTTTCTGCAAATAAGTTGTTTGTAAGTACCAACTCCACTATATGAAATATAGCGTTAGCAGACTTACCTGGCAGCCAGAGAATAAATGGCATTGGCCGATGAGGAAGGTTTGATTTTGGGGTGGTCACACTCTGCACCTACTAATGGGCTGCTATTCATACTCTGGAAAGTAAAGAAAAGTGTTGAAAAAGAACTTCCTTACCACAGCTGAGCACCTCCTCTTATTGAAACTTTTCAAAATAACAACAACAGATACAGACCTAACTCTCAATGCCATGCCTGGGGTTATCCCATCTGACAAACGCTTAGAGGCTTTAGGGCTCTGAAGAACCTTCGAATATTAAGGGTTAGGGAGATGGCGATCTAGAAAGAGTCAGGGAAATGAGCTTTTTGTTTTAATTCTAAAAAGATTTGAGTAAATTGGCTGTCTACACAAATATCATTAATATCTTAAATAACCTATATCCAAACTCGAAATGGTCATTCTATACTGACACTGCCAGAAAGTCAAACCTAATCCACACTCACTAATCAGATTGTGCACCACACAGATGCCACTTGATTGTTACTTTCTCTGCAACCAATGAATATGCCATTCACTTGGTGCCACAACATTTCTCAACTTCACTCTTCCCATTCCACCTCCTTAGATTTCTACCTACCTGCGATGCTTCCATCAGCTGCTCATTCGAAATTCAACAGTCAGCCAGGTAAAAGCTTTGTTTTTATGCACATTCGGTGCATGTGTGTGGTACCTCTTATCTTTTTTTCTACCCAGTAACTGCTCTTCAAGCCTTAACAGGGTCTTTATTTCACACTCTCAAGGCTTCGACCTTATCTGGCTGCCCACCCTGCTCATAAACAATGATTCTCTCTCTTGCTCATTTAGCACTGGCTACATTAAACCCGTTTATTATTCTTCAAACAGTCTCTCCCAAACTCATAGCTTTTTCCTTCATCCTGGAATAATCTCCCCTGATATCAGTATAGCGCATCCTCCCTACTGCTACAGGTTTCTGCTCAGAATGGTACTCCACAACTTCATGAACCTCCCACTCCTGTGCCAACTTTCTCTATACACTTCTTTGGGCTACTTTTCTCCACAGTACTTGTGACTGTGAATATACTGTTCAATTAACAAATTTATATTCCATCTTCCTCCCACTAGAATATAAACTTTGTGAGGGCAAGACTTTTTGTTGAGTGCATAAATGAATAAAACATCAAATATTCCTCTCCCACCTCTCCAGAACCTCCCAGTTCTGGACCCCTTATTGCATATTTAGACAACGGACCAGTAACCTATCTCCTTCAAATGTTCTTCACTTCCTAACATAGAAATGAAAATTCTTTTGGGAGAGGGTTTTCAAGTCTCTCTAATCTAGTGTGAGTTCCTTTCCAGCTCTTTTTCCTACTGACAAAATTTCTGCTATACTCAAAATAACCTAATCACCATTCCACAATACACCTTAAGCATTTCTGTCATTGTAGCTGTTATCAATCTGAAAAACATATCCACTTTCCAAAGAAATATTTCTACTCAGATGCCACTCTTTCTATAAAGTCCTCATGATTGCCCTATCTGGGAATATCCTCTTACTTCTCTAAAACTTAAGTATTTCCCAGTTACATTACAAATGACATTTATAAAACGACATTTACTGCAATATTTACAAACTGCCTCATCTGGTCTATGAACATACACACTTCTTTTTTTTTTTTTTTTTTTTTTTTTTTTTTTTTTTTTTGTGGAGACAGAGTTTCACTCTTGTTGCCCAGGCAGGAGTACAGTGGAACAATCTTGGCTCACTGCAACCTCTGCCTCCCAGGATCAAGCAATTCTCCTGCCTCAGCCTCCTGAGTAGACGGAATTACAGACGGTCGCCACCAGGCCCAGCTAATTTTTTGTATTTTTTTGTAGAGACAGGGTTTCATCATGTTAGCCAGGCTAGTCTCGAACTCCTGACCTCAGGTGATCTACCCGTCTTGGCCTCCCAAAGTGCTGTGATTATAGGCATGAGTCACCATGCCTAGCCACTCTTCTTGAGAGTAGGAATTACATTACAGTATCTCTGAATTCCATATAAAACCTATCACAAAATTTCAACCCATAAACATCTATCCACACATATTTTTCTTCTTGTTTTTCAAGACAGGGTCTCACTCTATTGTCTAGGCTGGAGTGCAGTGGTGCAATCATGGCTCACTAAAAGCTTGGCCTCCTGGGCTCAAGCAATACTCCCACCTCAGCCTCCTGAGTAACTAGAATTACAGGCATGTGATACCATGCCAGCTAACTTTTTTATTTTTTATAGAGACGGAGTTTCACCATGTTGCCCAGGCTGGTCTCGAACTCCTGGGATCAACCGATCTGCCCACCTGGTCTCGAACTCCTGGATCAAGCGATCCACCCACCTTAGACTCCCAAAGTGCTGGGATTACAGACATGAGCCACTGTGCCTAGCCCAGACATATTTCTTAACAGACTAGATAGTTTCAAAATTAAGACTCACCATGGAGGTATCCAGACTGAACGTGCTTCCGAGCCTAGGCACATCTGGTCTGGGCTCCATTTGTGAAGGCAATGAAAATGGAAGCGAGTGCCGATTGGTTAATTCTCTTCCTGTCCAGGGATCACTGGAACTTGGGGCAGATACGGGTACTTTGGGGATTGGCCGGGGCAGCCATGAGTCTCCAAGGCGGCTAGAGGGGACAGGGGGTAGCTTGTCTCTGGATGGACAATCGCCTGGTGTACAAGGCAGGGGGCGTCTCTGAGGCCGGGATTCTGCTCCAACAGAATATGGCCGGTCTGGAGGCGGTGGTGGTGGAAGATCTCGAAGTGTGGGAGGTACTGGCAATGGTTTGTCTTTATGAAGGGAGCCAGAAGCAGCCTGTGGAAGCATGATGAAAGCAAATCAATTAAAACCCACTAGTACACAGCAAAGAATCTGAAAACTGCAGTAATGGAAAATGCTTTACTTTAGAAGCAGTTCCAAGAGCAGAAGCACTTGAGGGAACACATACTCGCTGCGGCAGAAGGTCAAGTCGTGGTGGCACCGGAGGAAGGGAAGCTTGTGGGGCCATGGAGAATGGAGAAGGAGGCCGTTCCACCTAGGGTACATTAAAAATTTAACAGGTTACTCTCATTTGGGGAAATGGCATCTTTCAACTCTCCTAAAGCTGTAGATGGCAAATACCATGGGAACATTTATAACTACAAATGGGCCAGACTTAGGTTTGAGGTCCAACACACCCTCTTAAAAAAACTTCCAGAGATTCCAGCACTTCCTGAATTATTTTTGTGTCACCATAAGAGGGCACTCTCAAACACAGAAATACCATACCCATGGCAAGCTACAGGTAATCTATCTAGAAATGACAGGGCCACAGAAAGTTTCCTGGCTTATAATTTTGAAAATTACTACAGTTTTCTACCCCCTCACCTTTGGAGGAAGAAAAAAATCTTTTCAACGTTAAAAATAGGACTCCATATAAAACTAAGGGCACAGGCCAGGCATGGTGGCCCACGCCTGTAATACTAACATTTTGGGAGGCAGGAGTTTG